TAGAGTAAGTGTGGTATTTAACTACAATAGCGCTGTTTTCTTTGTTCTTGAGGACAGACGGCGACTTGAAAACCTGGAATAACCTTTATAGATGTTCACGTACCAGACATTCAGGTTTCTATCACTTTTTCAGTGTAAGTCTGTGAGTTTTTGGCACCCATTTTATTATCCAATAGACTAAAATCTTAAAGGGGGCCCTTTTTCTAAATCTTGATTTGGTTTTTGGGCTTTACTAGAATAGGTTTTAATGCTTGAATGTTCAAAAAACTCATTATTTTCCCCCATATTCTCCATTGTTGCGGCTCCTCTCTTCCCAGTCTGTCAGTAACGCTCTGTTTACTTCCTGTCTCTATGAAGCCCCTCCTTCTGAAAAGCACACTGTGCTCTGATTGGTCAGCTGGATCAATGTGTTGTGATTGGTCGAGCGCTTTGAGTGTGTTTGGGAAATGTCCCGCCCCTTACCATAACCACCAGTTTAACACACTACTAACTAACTCAACCAGGCCCCGCCCCTTTATTCTGCGTATTAATTATTATAATGAGGAATATTGTGACGGGTTCGTTCCTGGAAGAAACTCAAGACTACAATGGAGGCGTTTCATTGAGTTCAGAAACACTGACACTGAAAATAACTCCCTTTTTCGTGCCCAAACAGCAACATTACACACTAGAGAGAGTTGAACATGGAAAAAAGCATAATAGAAGCCCTTTAAATCTGCAGGATTTGAGGTATTAATCATGTCCATAGTCTTAATTTTAATACTTTTTTTGGTTTGTTTAAAAAAAAAAAGGATAGGCCTAAGCAAACTGTAAAAAAAAAATGTTTTTTTTGACATTGTAAATAAAACAAAGATTATTGAAGTATGTTTTACAAGAAAATACTTTATCATGTTTCATTCAATGTGCTACTTGACGTTTCCTTGTAAATAATTGTGACATTTATAGAGTGAAAATTGAGTGTAATAGTAAAAAATTAGTAACAGCAACAAAAAAAACCTTAAGCAGACATTAACTTTTCAAGTTTTTGCGATAGAAAAACAAGTTTCTGTGCAGTTAAAAGATTCTTCAATGCCCAGAAAGGCTTAAGTAAAAACATGATTTCTACCCAGAAGAGACGTAAACAGACACGATAACGGGCCGGCTGACAGGTGGTAGTGATTTCACATATCTGTATCTGAAGAGGTTCACTACCAGACAGGCTCGGAGAGCATATCACACACGCAACAAGTGGCTGCGCGGCGTAAAATACAAACAGCCATCAGTTTTGTAGCTGTTAGGAGAGGGTTTTTATGATAAATATGATGTGACTCGAGCGCAGTGGAAATACCATCAGGGGTCCAGAAACCGACACAGAATAAATGAGTTTTTAGAGGGAAAGATGGATCCTCTGCAGTTGTACTAGTCTAGAGTTGAAACACTCATCAGCTTTAGTCAATGGATTGTGAAGAATCAACACAATGGCTCATTACTGTATGCAATGAGACTCAAGTGAGACACACAGAACAATGAGACAGACAAGTGGAAACAGCACGTGTCAAATACAAGTCACATGCTTTAAAGTGCAATTAAAGGCAATTAAAGTGCCTCTATTATGCTTTTTCGGATATTTAGTTTCATGCAGTGTGTAATCTAGGTGTTTGTGAATTTAAAAGGTCTGCAAAGTTTCAAAGATCAAAGTGTCAAAACACTTTGGGCCATCTGACCAATCAGAGCAGAGTAGACCAATAATAACAGACTGGGTCATCTGACCAATCAGAGCAGAGTAGACCAATCACAACAGACTGAGCCATCTGACCAATCAGAGCAGAGTAGACCAATCAGAACAGACTGGGCCATCTGACCAATCAGAGCAGAGTAGACCAATCACAACAGACTGTGCCATCTGACCAATCAGAGCAGAGTAGACCAATCAGAACAGACTGGGCCATCTGACCAATCAGAGCAGAGTAGACCAATCAGAACAGACTGGGTCATCTGACCAATCAGAGCAGAGTAGACCAATCACAACAGACTGGGCCATCTGACCAATCAGAGCAGAGTAGACCAATCAGAACAGACTGGGTCATCTGACCAATCAGAGCAGAGTAGACCAATCACAACAGACTGAGCCATCTGACCAATCAGAGCAGAGTAGACCAATCAGAACAGACTGGGCCATCTGACCAATCAGAGCAGAGTAGACCAATCACAACAGACTGTGCCATCTGACCAATCAGAGCAGAGTAGACCAATCAGAACAGACTGGGCCATCTGACCAATCAGAGCAGAGTAGACCAATCACAACAGACTGTGCCATCTGACCAATCAGAGCAGAGTAGACCAATCAGAACAGACTGGGCCATCTGACCAATCAGAGCAGAGTAGACCAATCAGAACAGACTGGGTCATCTGACCAATCAGAGCAGAGTAGACCAATCACAACAGACTGGGCCATCTGACCAATCAGAGCAGAGTAGACCAATCACAACAGACTGAGCCATCTGACCAATCAGAGCAGAGTAGACCAATCACAACAGACTGGGCCATCTGACCAATCAGAGCAGAGTAAAGCAGTCACATCCTTAAGAAAACACCACTTGTGAGTGATGTATATGTGCAGGTACATTATCAGAACTTAATTTGAGTTTAGGAGTCGTATGAAACGCTAAAGTGATGCCATTAGGGGATGTAGCTCATCTCAGACAGGCTTCAGTCGTAAGAAAGCCTCATCAATATTCATTATGAGAAGCCGTCGCCCATTTAATAACAGTGGGAAAGAAGAGCTGCAGAACATGTGGAAGTTTGATGGCAATCTTGAGTATCTTTGACGTGCCGGGGAGGATGCGGTGCGGCTCGCAGAACCTCGCTCAGGAATACACTTCAAACCGGGTGACAGCAGCGGATCCTGACTTCACCGTACGCCTGCTGAACCGCCACTAATTATGTGTGCGACACACACACTCAAGGAGAAATAGAGCCGAGAGAGACGGTGCACCGGCTTACATTTCAATTCAGGTCCGCTTATCATGATGCCCTTTCACATAGAAGTTGATGCTAATGTCTTGCACAGTTCTTATCTAAAATAAGTAGATGTTTGCAGAAGCCAAAACCTTTTTCGTTACTTGCATTAAAATAAATGTAAATGTAATGGTATGGTATGGGTTGTTGCAGGAGCCTATTATAGCTAAATATGTATTTATTATAAATTATTATATATTAGTGCTGTCAAATCATGTAATCATGATTAACTAACAAAAGTTTGTAAATATGTGTGATATGCACACACACACACACACACACATATATAAATGTGTGTGTGTGTGTAATCAACTAATACTAAATTAATAATATTCGAACTCATTTAAAAGTAATGATACTAAAATAATACTGGCAAGCATCACTATTGTTGAGGGTGAGGTGTGCTATTGCTTTTCTAAATGATTATATTTATGATTTTCATGATCAAATGAGAGAAAAATCCCACAGATCATATACTAGAATCCACTCTGAACATCTTAGGAACTGCATAGCAACACCCTGGAAACACCCATAGCTTTTGCACACGAAAAATGTAAACATCTTAATAACTTAGCTGTTTTAACCGTAAAATAACGGAAGAACAACCTGCACCAGACGGATCCCTAGTCTTCTAGACACCAGCACTAATCTGTTTTAAGCCCCTTTGGACAGACTGGATTACTAATTGGGTGGATTTATAGCTGGTTTAGAGACGAGGGAACCACTAAAAGGTCGTTCAGTGTCTGGACACTCGGTTCAGTATAAAGATGAGTTCAGATGAGGGTCAGAAGAGGTATACCCGGTAATCGAGCTGTGTAGAAGACATGATGACAACATCTCACACTCGTATGAAGACTGACCCGAGAGAGACACTCTGAACGGTAAGAACTGCTAGGTTTGGGTTAACACAGTCCGTACAGCTTGAGTTCAGCACATTATTCAAACCTGTGAAGATGTGACGCTAACTGCTGTGAATAATTCTGAATGTACGGTTAAGAAAAAAAATTATTATAATGTATTAGTGCTGTCAAATCGATTCTTCTATCGCATCTAACATTTAAAAGTTTGTAAATATATAATAAGTGTGTGTGTGTGTGTGTATTTATATATATATATTTTTTTACAAACATTTATGTTGGGTGCGATTAATCACAGCACTAATTTGTCATGACTGTGTTTTTGTATTTCATGTATTCTGTAAACTATTCTGTTGTTTTTAAATGTGATATATAAATAAAGTTGATTTTATTTACCTCACAAAATAAAGCCAGATTCAAATATTACACATGAAGATATTTAATTTTTGACAGATCTTATTTTCAATGTTATTTTCTTTAAATATTAAGTTTTACCCCAATGAAATCCTGCTTTGAGTTTGTTTTATTTTACTATTTTTATTATCTTTATATTTATTTAAATATTTATATTAATTTTATTTGATTATTTATTTAATTATTATTAATGTATATAGTTATTTTTATGATTTTAATGGCAACATATTTTATTTACAAGTGAAAATTCTTAAAATGTTCCTAATTTATGACAAAGCAACAACAGATGTTTACAAATGGTCAGATTTGATATTGAATGCATCATAGTTTTTCCCAATATTTCTTTATTATGATGTTTAATAACATATCTTCAGGCAAAAACAATATTTATTTATATTTATTTATTGTTAACCTTAACTTTATTTTGATCAATGTAGTATTAAAACATAATGCATACTTAAACTCTACGTTCTTACATTTTTATTTTACAGTTTGATGTTTTTATTTTATTTTCTAATAATATTAATAATAATAAAAACGTTTTCATAAGGTACTACAACAAATTGCCTACAACTTTAAAATTCGCGTGGATTTTTATAATATTCAATGAACACAAAACAAAAACCAAGAATGTAATTCGAATACTAAATAAATGAAACGCGTCATCGCGTCATGTGATTGGTCCGCGCGTAAACCCCGCCCCCTCCGAGGCTCTCTCGCTTCTCCCGCCTGCGCCCTGGACACCGTTGCTAAGGAATCCCGAGTTTCCGAGCTCGAGCGCTTCTCAGTGCTCAGACATGGCGGCGGACCTGAACCCGGACTGGCTGTCGTGCCTGCCTTCCTCATGGAGTTACGGCGTGACCCGGGACGGACGCGTGTTCTTTATCAAGTAAATATCCGCGGGGTGAAAAGTTGGGGCTGGTTTCGTCTCGAATGCCTCTCGTCGGTTGTTTAATTTTCACCTTCTCTTCCCCTTTTTCCTCACCCAACAGTGAAGAAGCGAAGAGCACAACCTGGCTGCATCCAGTCACGGGAGAAGCCGTCATTACAGGGCACAGAAAAACTCCAGGTAAGAGGCTTTTAACTGCGTTTATCATTGGGGAAAATCAGTGCGTGAGAATAGCGCGGAGAAATGCAATCAATGCAGCTGCAGAACCGCAGCTGTGGCAGAACGCGACGCGAACAATGTCAGCGCGTTTGCGTCGCGTTGCATGCATGCAGTACACCTGAACGCGTAGTATTTGACAACTCGCATTTGGTTATTTACATATCTGAAGGGTTGCATGGTCATTTTTTCCCCCGCGCGGTCCGTTTGATTGACAGCTGTCATTTACATTGCACTCGATCATCTGACAAGCATGCATGTTGCTCATAACACTCTTATTTTGAAACTTCCATAAGCCTGAAATCCCTAATATTTGATTTATTAAAGCGTTAACAGTTTCTTTGTCACAATGCAAGGTGAATGATCCACAGTTACATGTTGAGCTGCAGTACACAGATGCATTAGGAACACAGCAATGCTTGTGGGCATTGAAAAGCACTGCAGATCATTGAGAGATGTGCTGCCCGCTGCAGCCACTTACTCTTTTAAAGATGCTTTTTGCATGCAAAACTCATTGTCCCCGTGTTTCTCCTTTTCAGATTTACCCACCGGATGGGAGGAAGGATATACGTTCGAAGGAGCCCGTTGCTTTATCAAGTGAGTTGGAGGTTCAGCTCTTGGTGGAAGGAGAATATTTTGCTCTCTCTAGCTTGTTTGACAGCAGCCGTGATTTCAGATCGCCGCCCCCTCTCTCTCTCACACACACACACTCACACACACACACACACTCATACCATAGCGTTTCCATAAATGCTTTTGCTCGCACACTGAAGGCATACACAAGCTCTTTCCCACCCTGTTTAAAAAAAGAAAAGAAAAGTAATTACCGTGAGGGTGACGGAGGGCTTGACAGGCCCGTGTGATTCAATGCTCTGTTGGTTGAACAGGCTCAACTTGTTGGTTTTCCACCCAGTGAATCATATTAATTCTTGTTTGTACAGCTCTTGTCTACTGCATGTTTGGGACAAAACTGTTGCGCCCTTCATGTGGTTTTCATGTGCTGCTTTCCGCTTAGCCGGTCGTGGTGTGTTTGATTGGATGCGTGTCTTGGCTGGAAAGGAGCTGATCGATATGTTATTTTTAGACCGTAATGGGCTTTTTTAAATTAGTAGTGAATGTGGCTTTTTCAAGACTATTTTAATCAGTGAATGTGTTAAAAAATGAGCCTGGTTGTTTATTGGTATCATATTTGGCTGTTTTGAGATTATTCACATCTATGATTTGCATAGTACCAGATTAATACCGTTAGCTTGTGCCATTTTTTTGTGTTTTTTTTAAGGAAAATAGTGTTTGGAATAAGTGTTAATTTCAGTTTTTTTCTTTGCTTACACTTCATTTGCAGCCATGACATTTTAACATGCAAATATGCATCGATATGTAATATTTTAATATGCATTGGTTGTTGGAAGTTCTATATTGGTTGACTGATATAAAGTAACATCAGTGCCTTAATATGACCGAACAGTATTATTTTAGCGCAGTATCTTGCATTATCAGTATAGCATATCATGCAAATTTATTTATGGTGAAAAAATGGTGCATCTGAATATGGTTTTACTTTATCGCTAAATTGAACTTGCATCTGAACGGTTTACATTGTATTTTAGCGAAGCATATGAGCTTTGGTGGTCTTGAATGAATATATGTGCATTTTTTTTTTTAGCAAGGACATTATTTTCACCACTATGGTCTGTCGAACTGCTTCCTACTTCATGTAAAATTTGTATGCATGGTGTGTGTGTGCTTTGTAGTTTTGTTCCCAACCCAGTCCAGGGCTGAGCTTTTTAAGGCAGTTGGAGGCTGATTTAACACAAGGATTTGAGCTAAAACTCACGAGATGCATCTCATCACGTCAGGATTGACAACCTAACCCTTTCTGGACCTTTCCTGCTCCACTGAGGCATGTGGACGCTGCATCACTGTCTGCTTTACTTAGGCCGACACGCCTGGGACACGCCATACCCTCCGATGATCTAGCTGCAATCTCAACGCCGGACAAATCTGAGGACCGAGTCATGTGCGTCGTCTTTTGCTTGAATGCACCTTTTTGTCATCCTCTCTGTGGATTACCGTGAGCGCACAGACTCCCTGGACCCCTTTACTGCTGCGCTGACGATACCCGGAGGCCCAAAACTGTTGCTCACGCACTTGAAATGAGACTGTGGATCTTCATACTGATCTAAGACCTGCAATGGGAGAAACTCTGACCAGTGGCGTTGTGAGGAACTCGCTCATGTTACTGCAGCGGCAAATGGCGGATGGCCAGAGATTAAGAGTGATATGGGGTCATTCATTATACTGGCACAAAGTCGCTAAGGGATTCGAAAAGGAGCGACGCTCAGAAGCAGCAAGTGGCTTGTGGTATTTGATCCATTGGCTCAAGTCTGTCAGAATTCCTTAAAAAGCACTGCAGTGTGTGAGGATGCTTTTTCTGTGTCACCCAGGAATAGCACGGCTAGCCAGAGGACGCTGGGATGCAGGCTTTGCTGTGGAGAGAATTCGTAACTCTTTTTAATCCGTAAAAGAGCGCAACCACGTTTTTCCAATTCACGTTTTTCCCCTGCAAGGAATTAATACATTCTTTGAGAAAAACTAACCATTGCATTTCCAAGATGCATTAAACTATCTTTAAAACCATTGGCTCTGTAGAAAGCTGTTAACTCTGTAATATTTAATTTTGTATGCATAAAACATACTGTGCACATCTAAATATATTGTATATAATATATGTTGTTATTATAAAACTGCCCGGCCAACAAAAACTCACTGTTTGGATTTAAATATGTAGGCTAACTACTTAATGGATCATTGTTGCACTTGCTGTGATTATTATGTTTTATAGTTATATGTTTGGCAACTGTTCTTCTAACCCTAATTGATGGAGTGTGAAGCTTTTAATGTCTTAAACAACCATGTAGGAAGACACATCATGGCCATATTCCAGGTTGATAAAGCCAAGATTCATCAGGCTCAAATTGTGAAAGATTGTTTGGGAGGGAGTTTGAAGAATCATTTTCACACATGAATTGGCACCTTATACAAGATCTTGACCAAAAATTGATGCACCTTTTGATGGAAATAAATGTTGTGATGTTATATCCAATCAAGAGGTGCATCGGTTTTTGGTCAAGATCTTGTATTGATAATGCAGCACTCTGTAAAGACGTTGAAGAAAAATTTCATATGTGAAAATGATATGAATATGGCCATGATGCGTCTTCGTACATGGTTGTTTAAGAAATGAAAAGCCACACAATTAGGGTTAGAAGAACTGTTGCCAAACATATAACATGCTAGAAACATCTTAATCACTGCAATAATGATCCAATCATAGACTCTTAAGCATTTGCCTATTTAAATCCAAACAGCGACTTTTTTTTGGTCTTTATTTCTGTTATAACTGGAGAAAATCTGCAACTGGATTTTTTTTTTAAATGAAATCATACCGACTACAGAAGCTTATATCATCCTGAACGGTTTTTGCATTTTCACTAAAAACTTATGTCACACAATAAATGGGATATTTGCTTCTGGAGCTCTACTAATGAACCCTTTGTCTGTCTCCAATGGTCTTGGAAAAGGAAGATGAGGAACAGAGGCAAATAATTGAGGTGTTGAAGGAGATGACCTGTGATCTACACCTGGAGCGGTGTGTGAAGCGCTGGCCGTTGAAAGGCTGTTCTTGTTGTGTCGCTGGCTAAAGCCCGATCTCTTTTGGCTTTTGCTTGGCAGCTGTTGCAGCGTCTTGGGAATGCTGCAAAATAAACAGCTCATGAAGACGCTCATGTTGGTCATTAGTTTCCGCCTACTGCCTAACAGGCCACAGATTGGGCAACAGTACAAGAGGAGGAGGATGAGCTCCCTCCCTCCCCGTGTCTTGCTCATGCCTTGTGTTGCAAATTAAAGGGGGAATGCGTTGAAATAACATGCACTCCTAAGAGCATTAGAGGTTAGTCGGAACGGTAGTGCATCTGACTGAATGGAATAACCTTTTTGTGATTTAAGTGTACTACTTGTTTTAGAGGTGCAATCTGACTTTTTTTCTGGTGCATTTCTGACTGAAGTGGGAAATAAATGGAGCGATGTGGTGAGATGTAAAGAGGGGAAAGTTGCAAAGGTCACTTATTCAACAGTGGCGTGCTCTTTACGAAGGTGCAGATGTGTGTGTGTGCGCATCTGTTTGTGTTGTGTAGATGTTAGAAGGGTCATAGCAACACTGACTTGACCAGTGGCGTGAGTTCTGGTTGGGAATGTCTGCTTGTTTGATCAGTGGTAGACGAAAGTGATTTTAATCATTCAGTCTAGTGTCCCTAATAAACAGTTGACGTTTAACCATTTAGAATTTTAAACCTGATTTTTAGAACTTCCACATTTAAGTTCCATGGTGATGCTTCAGTCACAATAGAGTGCAACAGTTGGATTCCAGAAGTAAAAACTTCTTAGGGAAATTGATCTTCTAACTTATAAACCTTCAAAGTCAGACCTACTGTGAGTTACAAGGTTGTTGATCGATAGTATTTGCTTCTGTTGAAGCCGCCAACCCGCATTATTTCAACTTATTTTTTAAATAATTTAACATGATGGTGAAGAACTACATTACCCATGAATACTGTACAGAAAATTCCACCAATCAGAAAGTCGAAACAATCTTGTTGGCTCCGCCCACTCCCACGAAGCACTGCATACGACGTAATCGAGTTTGACGCTCTCAAAATACTTAAGCATAGTTTGTTATAAACTAAATATATTGTTTTTATATATAATATTTAACATATGTAACGTTTTTAAATGGGTAGTTTTATATTTTTAATTTGATTGTGCTTATGATGGTTTATGCATTTGTTGAAACGCCACCAGCCTGCATTATTTAAACTCATTTTCAAAGTAATCATGTTTAACAGCAGAAGTCCTGTCGAGAAACTACATTACCCATGATTCTGCAAAGAAATCTCTAACAATCTGGGAATCGAAGCAGCAAGCTAATCAAAGCAGTCTTCCTACTTAAATATTTTGTATGTGTGTGTGTTTATATATATATATATATATATATATATATATGTAGCCTATACCCCTATAAGGGAAAAATGAATAGGACATATTCTTCCAAGGTCACTGAAAATGTGGACAGGTGCCATAAACCAGTTACAATACAAGGTTTCTCTCAGATTAACTAGTTAAATTGTCCTTCAGCAATCCGACTAACTGTAGTGAACTGGGTGTGTTTGGAAAGAAAGGCGAATGAAAACACACACATTACAGTCCACTGCAGGTGTTTCCACATTGGCAGCCTGAAACTGTCATCTGTCCTTCAGATGCTGTTGAATGAAATGCTCCTCACTTATTAAGCTGCGTGAGTGTGAGTGTGTGTGTGTGTGTGTGTGTGTGTGTGTCTCACTCACTGTCGCTGTTTCCTCATTTCCAGAGCAGCAGTAACGCGAGATGCTGTGGTTTTAGGACAGTTAAGTGGGTCGATGGATGGGTGGAGTGAGTCCACAGTGATGAAAAGCTTCCTAATGCTTCCTATGACTGTTGAATCATGTGAGGCCCTCACTCTCTTTCTCAGTCGCTCTCTCTCGTTCACTCGCTCTGGGGCAAGT